AGAATGCAGTAAATAATCAGAGAAAGAAACTATTTTATGATGTCTGAAGCATAGAACATTATGAATTTAATCTAAGGTATGGCAATCTGTATTATGAAAAAATGGAAAAGTCATGGATTTAATAGTCTATCTATGAAATGACTATGAAAGTCATTTAGGTTTAGGACAAAATGTTAAAAAGAAAATTATCAAATATTTCCTTTTCTTCAGCAAAGCCTTGGCTAGCTCTTTTCTTAAGATACCTACCTCTTTGGTCTTTTTTTAAAAAAACATGGGAAGATACAGTATTAGACAGGAAGGTATAGCAAAGCAAAGGTGAGCAGGGAGCATGTGGAATAAACAAAAAAAATGCATGGAAAAGGTAAAATATGTACAGTTGTCTTGATCAGTTTTCTCCAACTTGTTGGGGAGTTATGGATTAGTAGTTCAACACATCTCAGAGTTCCAAGATGCGAAGACCGTGTCACTGTCTAAAATTAATCACCATGTTTGTTAATGTAAAATATTGTTTTGTTTTCCTTATGTCTGCTTTCTGCATTGTGAATGACCTATTTGTTCTGATTAGCACTGAAAATCAAATTGGACAATTGCGTTATTTTTTTTTTCTGATTGCCCTTTTTGCAGAATGTGATGGAAACACAGCCTAAAAGCCTAATTAAGTTTGCACACCAAATCATCCATTCCATTTTAAGACGCTACTGAACAGCAAACTATGTCATAATTCCTAGCAATATTCATTTGTTGCATCTACTTTATTATGCAATATGCATCTTTTTTATTATACGAGTGCACTCAACTACATTCCCTTTTACTCTTAAAAGCATTTTTAATCACTATGTTTCCAGCCTGATAAAAAAAAAATTCTTATGAATTTGATTACTTGCTAAGATCTTTGTTATTACTTCTCAAAGGATATGTACTTACTGTGAGTTTTGGTTCATCCCACAGTTAGCTTTTCTATGTCTATGACAGCTGCTTGAGGAGTGAGAAGGGGTTACAATATACAACAACCTCCTTGTAAGTATCACTTCTCAAAGACACTGAAATTTGGTGGGTAGAACAAACAGCCAAAAACTGACTCAGTGCCAAAGAGGTGAAGTGCTTTTAACAGAAACGTGTTTAAAACATAGCAACACACTGGTATTAGATACTCAAACCTCTTATTGTTGCTTATGAATGTATCTGGTGAGATTACCTTGTTCCATTCCAGCAATTTTTCTTTGTTTCTGAATATTCTTGGAGGAAATCCAACCTTTCTTCTGAGCTTGCAGTGCAGTTGAAGGCCTTTAGTGAAAAGTTGCTTTGTAGCACTGACTTTTATTCCGCTTAAGTAAAGAACTATTTTTTTGGGTTATAGTTCCTAAAAAGGCTGCAGAATGGCTCAGCGATTAAAGACGCTGAGATTGTCAGCTGGAAAGCTGACAGCCCTGGTTGAACATGACGGGATGAGCTTCTGTTATTTGCCTCAGGTCCTGCCCACCTAGCAGTTCAATAGCATGTGAATGCAAGTAGATAAATAGGTACCACTTTGGTGGGAAGGTAACAGCATTCCGTGTGCCTCAGCTGGCTACATGATCATGATCATGCTGGCTACATGATCATAGAAATGTCTTTGGACAGTGCTGGCTTCCTCGGCTAAGAAACAGAGATGAGCATTGCCCCCTAGAGTAGGACACAATTGGAATGGAGAAAACTTTACCTTTATATTATTCTTAAAAACATCTTAGAATTGGACTTATCAGGTGCAAATCCAGTGGATCGCTCCTCCCAAGTTCCATGGCACATAGGTTTTTTAAAATTTTTTAGTCAATAGAGACCAGAGTCTTATGGAAGGATTTCTCTGCATATACTATGGGAATGTCCCCTTCAATAGGAAAGTGCACGCTGCAAATCAATGGTATCGTAGCATATTGCAAACAGTAAAAAAAACTCCAGTTGCTCTGCATTAAGTTCCCACCCCTCCGAACTTTCTGTACCTCTGCAGTGAAGAGAACAGAAAGCAAAGAGCATGGTAGTCTCTTCATTAAAAAAAAAAAGACCAGAAGAAATGTGGTCTTTTTTTTTAATGAAGAGACTACCATGCTCTTTGCTTTCTGATTCATGATTCACAGTCACTCACATTGGGACTTGCAATGGCGTGAACAAAGCAAAGAAAAACTAGGGCAGTTCACAGTGAGTTGGGAACAGCTGTCCTTCCTACATTCTCCGTGTGTCTCCTGGCAAAATGCAGTTGTTGGGATGACTTCACTTGCAGCATACCTGTCTCCTTTCAACTTATCAAGAGGTGAGAAAGCAAAGGTGAAAACAAAGGAAAGGAAGAAGGAATTTGAGACTGAGGGAGGACAGGAGACTAAGTACCCAGGAATGAGTATACATAGATATGCATGGTGATATTACCATTGGGAATCTTGACTAGGGTTCTTTAAGAGATACCAGATAAACTGCTCAGTCTCTCAACTTAAAGTACAGTTTGCAGTGATTTTGATTTTACAATGAAACAACTGAGCTCATACAACCTGCAGAAGCTCAGATCTTCTAAAACTTTGCTGAGTTGTGAAATTTGGACCATTTTCATAATAATATTTTAAGGACTGGCAGGCTCTGTCTAGTAGTATTAATATAGGAGCTCATTTATAAACCATGATTTCTGATTTAGCATACTCTGCAAACCCAGCAAAGGTAGCTTATGTAGTAAATCCATGTTTTAGCGTGGTGACTGAACAATGTCACCAAGTCTTTCTTTGTCCTCATATTCTTAATATGTTCAAACCTGAATTTTCAAACTAATCTTATCCATCTCTCTTTGGACTTTAAGATTCATATTCGCAAATTATTTGACCTTTGAGAAGTTAATAGCAGTTGAAATCTAAGACATCTGGTGATTACCAACATTAGCAGTTGTTTTGCACACATTTCTATATGTAAAATATTTCTATATTCCTAAAACAGATTATATCCAGGAATTAAAGTGGGAGGCACTCTTTTTTTCTGACAATTTAGGTGCTTTGCTTTTAGAAAGCACCTAAAAAATATTCACAAAACCCACTCCTTCCTGTATTTCTGAGCATGACTCATATTTCTGAGCATGACTCATTTGAAAGGCTGTTTCCTGGAGTAGTGAATCACAGAAAAATGCAGCCAACAGGCTCTTGTGAAATAGTCTAGTACTATCTTGACAAGGTAGAGGAGGCCCTGTCATAGAAAAGTTACTCAGCAGACGCTTAAAGAGAGAAAAGTCACAGCCAACAAAGCAAAAAAATGATTACTTTTAGAAAGGAAGTTGTTTAGTTATTGAAACATTAGGTTTTAAGGCACACTGTTTGGAGATCACATTTTAAGAAACCTTCTGAGACAAAATTTAGTGATTGTAGTGATCATAGCAGCACAGCTACACTGAATTCATAATAACATTCAAGATTTTTGTTTTGCAAGTAGGAAGAGAAATATCTGAAGACCAATAACTCATCTTTTTAAAAAAACAAGGTACTTTGTGCTAGTTCACCAAAGATAGGATAAACCATCCCCAAGGCTCTGTGACCTCTCATTGCTTATGTGATGTTGCCTGTGGATGTGAGTTAATATAGTTAAGAATTTTTAGGATGTATAGTTTTATTATCCTTGGTATTGTTTTAACTACTGAGAGCCACTTTGGTTTAATGGTTAAGGTATTAGTCTAGAAACCAGGAGAAGAAGTTCTAGTGCTGCTGGTGGGTGACTTTGGGCTAGTCACTCTTTCTCAGTCCATGATGTTAGGCCCAATTCCTGATTCAATGGATCAACAATTGGTTTAGTTAAAAAAAAAAAGTAAATCCTGCGGGAAAAGCACTATGAAGGAAAATAAATGTTCTAACTACTGACTCTTCCATAGGGTGTGCATGACATGCCAAATTTGAAATCCCCAAGACATTTTGTTTTGAGCTCAGAATAGTTGAAACACTCAAAATGTTTTGCAGTTCTATATCTCCATTTTTTAACAAGCTTATAATTCTAATTATATTGTTGACAGCTCTCTTCTCTAGAGGAAAAAGGTGGGATATACAATTTAGTAAAAAGAAAGAAAGTTCTTAAGTGCTAATATTAGTTTAGAAAAAGGATTTTCCTTGACTCATAAGAAATTTGAGCTGGTGCTGCCACTAAGATTTTTTCAAAGTTTTACCAACATTGGGTTGCCTATACTAGTTTACTAATGCTATTTTCAAACATATTTGTGAGACCAAATAAAATAGAGATGTGGATTTGATCTCCAAAATATCTCCTTAATCCAGAAGAGAATTACTGAAAAAAGTCATTGTTCACAATACATACAAGCAAAGCTCATAAGCCTTGCATCCTGCCATGCCCAATTCAGGAGCAGTCTACATTGTCAGAGATGAAAAAAAAACGCTTATTTTTGGATTAGCAACAGAGATAAAGATTTCAGGCAAGTTGCAATCTAAGTTAAAACACTGGTATGAGCAACTAAGATTACCTTGATTACAAAAGGTGCTATAGACAGACAAGTGGGAGGAGGAGGATAGGCAACCATTGAGGTATTAATGAAAATATTTAAAATGTTGCAAATGTGTTAGTGATGCTCCTATAAAATATTTCCTCTAGGAGGGCATGCTTATTAACAAAATAGTAAGTTCACAGAAATCAATTTGGGGAAGCTGTTTCTCTCAGTCCCAGACAGTTGCGTTTTCTCACTAATTTGCCATTGTGGGTTTGTGTGCGTGTTTTGACAAGCTACTGTACATTTCCCAAAAGCAGTAGGCTGAAGCCATTCAACCACTGTTTCTTCAGAAAGCCTATGGGACTATTATAGGAAAAAATATAAGATGGTGTTAAATCCTGGTGCTTTAGAGTGGGGCAGCTTCTCATTTTTTTTCAACAGGGATGAAATTTAATAAAATTAGATGGGCAGGAAGCCTGGCTAGACACACTTGTGGCCCTGGGCATCCTACAGTGGAGAAAATGAAATCAACCAGTTTTTCTATTGATCCATTTCACTGCTTTGGAGATGTGCTTCTTAAATCTTTATTTCATTTGGAGCCAGTGAGAAGAAAATGGAACTTTCACATGAAGAAAATTTGGTAAAGTGAAAGCAAATTTCATACATTTCCTATCAATCTAAATAAACTCAAATAAGTATATAAAAGTGTTTCTTTAATTAAAAACATTTAAAATATTGCAATAAACCTACAATTACATGCTACATTACTGGAAACTTTGCATATTCACAGCATAGTTAAAATAAAGGTATATTAGTGCAAAGAACAGTCACTGTTATATTAATAATACAGTATTCCAGGGATTTCACAGTTCCTGGATTAGGAAAAGACAGGTTTGGCAAACACATACAATTACTCATATATGTTCTTCTACAGTTCCTTCTGTTATAAAACAGAAGATGTCTAAAATCTCAAACTAGTTAATATTAGTTATGACTACCACTTGCGCCTGGATGCAAGATGCCTGTTTGATTAACACGAATATAGAAAACTTCTTTGCACACCTGCTAATCACTTATAAAAACAATTCTGTCTTGTATTGGTCTAAACCCAAACTCACATATATTGTCCATACCAGGCTGCCGCTTTGATTTTTCCCTTTGTAAAGAACACGCTTGTCCATATGATTTTGTATGGAAAGTAGGTCTACCAGCTGTAAACATTTGTTTATTAAATGTTACTGGAGTTCAGTTTCATGTTCTGTCCATGGAAATCCTGTGTCATACGCACAAATTTAATAAGTTGACTTAGTTGTGTTTGAACTAGAGGAATAAGAGGGGGATTTTCTTGGGTATCTGTTTGAAGAGAGGGAGACTTGCATCCTCTTGGTGGTGCGCACACTTCGACAGAGGAGGGCATTTTTTAAATGATCCCTAAAGTCTTTTGAAATGAAGTAGTAGATAAATGGATCGATGCAGCTGTTTAGAGCAGAAAGGCAAAGGGCTGTAATATATGATGCATACACATTACTGAAACCATTGGTTTTGATCTGGGCATAATGGACCACCAGTAGAATATTGCTAGGCACGAAACAGATCAAGTACATAGAAAGCACTGTAATGATAAGCTTGATGGCTCTTTTCCTTTTCTTCCCAATCGTTACATCTCTAATGGAAGCATTAAGAGTCTTTATCATGAGAATGTAAGCCCCAGTTGTGAGAATAGCTGGGAATAAAAAGACCCCAATAGCCAGGGAAAGGAAGTAGTTAAACATGTCACTGGCCAACACAGACTGAGGCAAGACATCATGACATGTGGTGATGTTAAGGTTAGAAATATAAACAGTTTGTTTAATAAGATATAGTGGCACTGTGCCAAGCAGTAGCACTATCCATACTGCAGCTGAAACTTTCATAGCAATTTCTGAATTCTTTCTTGAGTGCAGTATGGGGTTTGCAATTACCCAATACCTTTGCACGCTGAGGCATGTCATAAAAAGAATGGAGCAGTACATGTTTCCATAAAAGAACCCAACAAGTATTTTGCACAGGACTTCCCCATAGATCCAGTTGTTGCCATTAATATGGTACGCAATTTTCAGAGGGAACCAGATTACGAAAAGGAGATCTGCCAGAGCCAAATTAGCCATATAGATCACCGCAGGATGCTTCTTCTTTGTTCTGAAGAAGAAAACCCACAGAGCCAAGACATTGCTGGGCAAGCCAATGATGAAGACTATAATGTAGATCACAGGAAGGAAAATTGTAGTCAGTTTCCCTGTAAGGATTTTGGTTGCAAAGTCATCTATGTTGTATGCATCTTTATTTGTTGAATTGCTTTTATGACCAATAAAACTTCTTCCTCCTTTTGAAATGCCAGTTTGGTTTGTCACTAAAAAAGAAACAAAGCAAATATGTTAAGTTACCTGGCCATTAACAGTCTCCCACACAGCCTATATAATGAAGTAACAAGTTACAAATACATAATTGGTATCATAATTCATTTGCTTTGGATAAAAATAGTGTTGAACTGAGGAAAGTACACAGGCTAACTTGATTCCAGTAGGAAGACTAATAAGAAAAACTCTGCAGGTAGTGCTCAACTTACAACTGTTTAAACAGCAGTTTGGAATTATGGCAGCATCAGAAACATTGTACTTATGACTGGCTACCAAGCACCCTACAGTCATATAAGTGTCATTGGATTCTTTTCTGCCAGTTTCCTCAGGAAATCAATGGGGAAGACGGGAGGGAAGGTTGCAATCTGCTGCTGGCTACTGAAAAGATTCCCTTTCGTCTTTGTGGGCTGGCTGAAAGAATTGTCCACTGAGGGGAGCTGAACTTCTTCAGTGGGGTTCAAAATGGAGCAGAAATTCTGAAGCTGTTCCTGCACCCCACCAAAGGAGTTCCCTTCCATGCACAGAAGGGAACAGAAAGCCTTCAGCAGGCAGCTCTTTCAGCCAGCTCCCACAGATGAGAGGGACCCAAAATCCAACAGAGAGGTAAACGCTTGGCACAGACCCTCTTCACTCAGGGTCTGAAAATCCTGCTCGGATTTTGGGAAGGAGGATTTTCAATTCCCTGTTCTTACCCAACCTCTGAGACCTCATCTTCCCTGGGACTCCATCTGCTTAATGACCCTTGAGATTGCTTAACAATTACAACCCTGAATGCCAGGATTGCAGTCACTGAGTGAAACAGTCATGCAGCTTGTTTAACAAGCATTTTGCTCAGCAACCAATAAATATTCCAGTCCTAATTGTGATCATAAATTGAGGATTACTGGTATAGCAAAATATTCTTGTCACGTTTTAAAATGATTTTCTTATAGCTGGAAAAGGGGAGACACAGTCTTCTTCAGGTGCAGGGATGTAGCTAATCAATGTCATAAAAGTCACAACATTGGCCAGATTTTGAGGGGCAAAATAGGTGCTGTAAAACTCTAAAAAAGGAAAAAGATCAGTTCAGAATAGGGAGGATTAGAAAGTTTATGAAATAAGGGCCTTAACATAACTACTTTCCCCTTTACTCTTACTTCCAAACATTGCCTGCTCCAGGAACACATGTAACCTGCTGCAGATTACATTTCAATATCCTGGATGGAGCCAAAAAAGGAGGGACAAAAAGGAATGATCAGCTCTGCAACTGTTCTCACTTTTTAACAATGTTATAGATAAATCATATCTAGTCTGGCCCGAATAGCAAATTTGAAAAAGCAATTTCCTTTTTTAAGAAACAAATTTGTTGCCATTGTAGAGGATTTAATGCAAGCAAGGGAGTTTTCAATTGGCTTTAATCAAAACATCTGGGGGGGGGGGCAAGAAGATAGGGTAGATTGCATATCAATCAGAAAAGTTCTTGTCTAGGATTGTCCCCAACATGGTTGCTTTATATAAAAGGGAAAAGATGCAATTCCTGCAGTCTAAATTGCAGGATCTCACCTCAGACAGATCACAGTTTAAGCCTGAATACACATTATTAGAACAAATGCATAAACCAAATTCCCACTTTGCCCAGCTAATGTGAGCTGGCCAGCTAAGCCAAAAAACATACAGCCTTCCCCCATCTTTTTAAAAATATATGCAGCCCGTCTTTTTAATATTTTTCAAATAAGTTCCTCAATGAACTCATGTGGATATATATCTCACCCTTTAAAAGCTCATTTTTGCTCAATAAATAACATATGCATATTTAATAATTTACAACCCGTTAGGTTTATTTTTATGTTAAGGGTCTAGAAAGTAAATAGGAAAGAACATTTTTCTTTTCTTAGAAATGTCCCATTCCACTACTCTGTCAACTGGTTTATTTATTTAGCATATGGCATATCCTATGTGGATTAGCAATATATATTAACATTTCACCTAGATTAATAAAACACAATAAATCTATTAATTGGTATTGTAGCATAAATATGGCATTGAGAATCGTGTATTGATTCATAACATGTAACTTCGCCTATTCTTGTGCAAGGGATTTGAGAAATAGGCACAATATTCTTGCCTGCCAGTTCCCCCACATTCAATATCACCAGCTCATTTTACTCTAGCATACTCAGGACTAACTTATTTGACTGTGCAATTTATATTATATTCATGTTGTTGTGTGGGAGGCCATTAGTATTAACTGGATCAAAAGTTCACCCATTAATTTATGCAAACTCAGTCCAGTTCAGCGTTCACTGGAAAAGGTCATATTTTTTTTTGTAGAGTACCCACTTGAAAGTATCTTGGATGGAAAAACAGGAACTATTTCCCTTATGTAGAAAGTATGTACTTTGTCGTAAGCAGAGAGGAAATCCTTATTAGGCAAAGATGCATCTTCTTCATCTAAGAAGGGCATTTTAGGTTCTTCTCATGTTGAGCAATTTAGGATCACCACATACATTCCATGTTATTTTGCTCTGTAGAATAATACCTCAGAATCCCTAGCTCTTCATCCTTTCTCACCATTTCATATTAATGCAAGTTAACGAGCGTAATACTGAGTATTAAACTGCAAATACTGCCTTCATTGATAAAGTTATTACATATGAATTGCACTGATCCTCCAGGAACTCCCCCAAATCATGGAGACTTAGAAATATCAGTTTAACCACAGATATATTCTTCTTTCTTCTTCCAACTCCAAAAGAATGCACCACTGCCCAACTAATCAAATTACAAAATTATATCATAAGCCAAGATAGCTTTATAAGAATGACTTCTTATGCTATTCTGAACACGTTACATATTCACATGTTACATATTCACATGTTACAACAACCAATTACTGGAAAACAGATAGTTCTGTCCTGAGCTACCATAGTTAAGTATATAGGCAACAAGAAAACAACAATGTTCAACCTAAGCTTGTAAGAAAAAAAAATTAGTGGCTTTTTTGAAATAATAAACTCTTTAGATCTTTTCACTAACAATCAAAGTACAAGAGGTATTAGTTTGCTACAAGTCAGTTTTTCAAGCACTGAGCTGAGACTTCTCAAGTGAAGCAATCAAGGCAGAAAGAGTTTCCTGAACTTCTGCTCTTAGCCTTTGTAACTAGAGATTAAAAAAACAAACTTTTGCTTCTGCTCTAAAGAACCTGTTTCTATTAGGAACTAGGTTGCGTCATCCATCAGGTTAAGCTTCAATTTATCAAGCACAAAAACAAAAAAGCTTCAGTGAATTATAACATCACTACAGCAAGGTAAGCTCCAATGAAGTTACTCCTGTTTTGATTACAAAATAACCTTTCCTACTGCCTAGAATGTCAAGCTAAATTCCCAATGGGGTGCCCAGAGCACAGCCGTACACCTAAAGAATTTCCCTTTGTGCCCTTCAGGTTTCCTATCCTATCTGGCATTTTCCTTTTTGAAAAAGGAAATGGGGAACGAAGCTGGGACCACCACCAGATCCAGCATCTTATTCCCAAGAAAGGTCCCTAACCTTTCTCACAAAAGAAAAAGAAGGGTGATCTTCGCTAAGCTGTCCTCCTGCGGATCCCAAAAGCATCAGGATCAGCAAAAAAGTAAGAAAAAGTTCGCCGTGGGTTAGGCATCGGGAGTAGGAGCAGAAGGGAAAGAGCAGGTAGCCATTCTGATAAAACAGGTTTTTGGCCCTGGTCCTATCCCCACGGCAGCCATTTTGCTGAGAGACCAAACACCCCCCCACCCACCCAGCAGCCCCTTGGGGGGGGGGACACACGCCCAGCATGTTCCCAGAACAGCCGACCTCCCCAGCGGTCCCGAAATGCGGGAGCCCCCGCTTCGATGGAAAAGAAGACGGGAGAGGGCGAAAACTTCCCGAGCGCAGCTCACACTTCGCACCTGTAGCAGAGGCGACGGCCAGAGTTCCTCCCAAGACCAGGACCCCCAGCCAAGGCTGGCAGAGGCGCCCCATATCCGCAAGCAGGGCTTCTCTGGATCGCCGCGGCAGCGACACAAGAACTTTCCACCTCCTCCCTTGTCGGCGCCCGGGAGTTTCACCGGAGTTTCACTGCAGCCTGGAAAAGGAGAGGGCGGCGGAGGCGGAGCCTCGCCCCTTCTCGCCAGCCAGGTGCCCTTTGAGCCTGCGAGGGGCGGGGAAGGCACGAGTTTCGCCCGGCGGCGGGCTGGCAAGCGTCTCCTTCTCCTGGAGCGCCGAGAGCGCCGCGCAGGAGAGCCCGGGGGGGAGCCGCGAACACCGAGAGTCGCGGGCGCCAGTTGGCAAGTTAGACCTGTGTCTCTACCTGCTTGGAACCTGCTTGGAATTAAAAAGGGGGAAAAAAAACTCTGTGCGTTTTTTATGGAATGTTTTTATCACCCAAACGACCCGAAACAACAATGAAGAGAATCCGTGTCTATAATCACGGAACACTCCGGTCTAATAATCAACGCTAAATGGGGCCACGCCGCTTTCCTTCGCTGCCTCCCGCCGGGAGATTCCTGGAAAGGGAAGAGCCGCGATGGCGCCCGAAGGGAAGAGTTGTCTGGCGTGGCATCTCCTTTACTGCAAACTGTTAAAAACTTTCTTTTTTTCTGTTGTGGATAATCGGCTGCCTTCAGACGCATTTTAGCCTATTGCGCAATTTTTACCTCCGATAACATTTACAGTAAAATTGGTCTGCCTGTCAACCCAACAACTTTAAGATGTGTGGATTTTAAGTCCCACAGTTTCCCAGGCTATACATCAGTGCCCCAGAACCATCTTTTTGCATCCCCCAGAGTCGCATGTAATAATAGTTGAAAATCAATGATAAAAGTTCCATTTTGAATTGAAAAAAAAAGAAAACTACTAGTGGAAATCTGGAAATAAATGTAACATTTTTAAAGGAACTGCCTAACCAGGAAATGAAAATGGGAAAACCTGTGGGTTGAAACCTTTCCTACCCCAAAATGTATTAGTTGTAAAAACTGCCCCAACAACCCAGGTAATATTGACTCATTTGTCGTTTGATTGGGATGTAATCACACAGGTATCTTAAGCTAGCCTACTTTCTTTCCATTATCTTCATTATCTCTTCATTTCCTTTGTTAAACAAAGATGTTGGGAGAAAGAATCTAGTTACTTTAACCAAAGGTTTCCTTTTCTCTTTGGTAAAATAAAACATGTCTGAATACACCAACCTTTGACAGAGAGCAACAGCAGTAGAGTGGCACTTAAGTCCAGCTGGAAGGCAAAGAGACATGCAGACACACACGCAAGTGAATTCCTTTGGAGGGGATGTAATTAGTCAGTTTACAATAGCTAAGATTGCAGCTAATCAAATTTCATTTTGGAAAATAAATCTGTATTTGAGACACTATGATCAAGAAGACTTTGGCACTAGCATTCACCCTTGCAGTGCCAGAATGGGAAGACATTTGGAGCAGGACTTCAATTAAGGAATTTAGGACATGTGTTGATACATAAGGAAGAAATGTACCATAGGTCCTCAGATCTTATGTCATAAACACCTATATAACTCAAAACCAATATTTTGAACCTGACTAACGAACTAAGAGCTGGTGAAAGCCATTCAGAATATTTAATTCTAATAAAAAATTTGCCACATTTTTTCCCATGTAGAAGGCATTATTACAGTAGTAAAAACAAGAGGGTTACCAGAGCATGAGTCAAATTATACATTTCTAAACGGGGATTACCAGACTAAACTAGTAAGAGCTACTTACAGAGGTCACTTGAAGTTATAACAACAGTAATGGATCTATGAGTATGTTTTAACTTTGGATTTTATTTTTCAGGAATCCTTCAAAACAGAATGAATTCCATTTCTCTGGACCCACCCAGTAGCTGTCTGTTACTGTTATATGGATTACATTTCAATTTTTTAGTTTTTATACAATTTATTTACTGTTGACTAGTACTACTTTAATATGTCTATGCTGAACACAACTCTACAACTCTACATTGCCTTGATCAATAGTTTCATGGAGATATTTTATATAAGGGGGAAAACATGGAAATTGAGAATGGTACAACATCCAGAAGAACATTTCCAACAGCATCTTCTGGAAGTGCCCATGAAATTACAAGACTAGTCCTGTCAGTTTCACTAGAATTTAAGGAAAAGCTGCAGAATTATAAAACTTAATTTGTAAAATGTTTTTCTCCCCCCCCCCTTCATGTTGCAAAAAAGAATGGCTAGGAGAGCCATTCTCAAGTGCATATAATTCTTCAGAAGATGGTGAAACAAATAACTGAAGAAATATAAATGTTAAACTTTGAAATGATGTCATTCCATAGTGACTTTATTTCAATTGACACAATTGTTAAGTTTATTACTTGTTTCTTTTCAGGTTAACTGTAATGGATTTTTAAAAATGTACTGTATCTGCTCTCAGATCTGTTTTGGATAAAAAATTGCTATTTTGACCCCACAATCTATTCCCTTTCTTCCATCAAATGTAGATTTCTGTTCCTAATTGCTGATTCATGTAGTATGAAGAAAAAAAATCCCCAAATAAGACAATTATGCATATTTTAAAAGTTAGCAGATGGCAAAGATCCAGAGCAAACTATGCACAGAAAAGCTATCAATAACATTTAAATTATAAAGAAAGCTGAATTTAAGAACTTATTCCTTCATTTTTGCATCCGGTTGATCTAATCCAACTGGAAAACAAGATTGCATCAATTATGTCATCAGAATTGGGAAGGGAACAATAATTACTTTACTGAATGGTTGATGTAATCTTACTATATATCTATAACATCATGAATCACTAATGCATTCAGTCTGCAGCTCTATCTTGAGACAGATTTTAAAGATAGAACTCATGACTATATGCTCTGTTCTAATTTATATATCCTACCTCAAGATATCAACATTGAAAAAATATTCTTCTGTGCTTTGTAATAACTCTGATGCTCTTTCCAAATGTTTAAGTAGAGTAGATGTGCATTCCTCACATAAGCAAAACTTTTATATCCATGGATTTAGCAAAGGGAGAAACAAACTTATCATTCATTTATTGGTTGAATTACAGTCTACTCTCTCATCATACAAAAAGCATTTTTTGTCAAGGAATGTTGCAGAATGGAAACACGCTGGCACTTAAACTTGCAATTTATTTATGTTTGTTTTTTTTTAAATACAGATGCTAATTATTTTCTCCTGATTTATTAAATTATTAAATAAGAAAATGTGTTTTAATTTTTAAAAACTCTGCTAAAATGAAAGTATTAGACTGAAAAAAATCTTCAATTTGCTTAAAGAATGTTTATTAGAATATTTTAAGCTTTTTCTAATCTGTTGTCAGATTATGATTTTTAAAAAATCAAGATATGCTATCTTGAGGTCCAGATCTGAACTGTTTGTTCCACATAGAACAAGAACAAAGGAATATTTTCTATGTGATGTGTGATTTACAACCATTAGTTTATCTTCTAACAATTTCAGCAGATCACCATTTTCAAAGCAAGTCTGAAGAAGTTTGCTGCCTATATTTAGACAAGTTATGTATTTGCCTGCAGATGTGTTTACATAGCTATTCCTATTTTCTTGGTTAGCTGGAAAATGAAACAGTTCTTGCCATGATAAAAATCCTGTGACCCCCGAGGACATGGACAGGATGTTGGGACGGCTGAACACCACCACATGTTTACTGGACCCGTGTCCCTCCTGGCTGGTACTGGCCTCCCGGGAGGTTACATGAGGCTGGCTCCAGGGAATCGTCAACGCTTCTTTGAGTGAGGGGTTCTTGCCGGCTGCCTTGAAAGAGGCGGTGGTGAGGCCCCTCCTCAAGAAGCCCTCCCTGGACCCGGCTGTTTTGGCCAACTACCGTCCTGTCTCCAACCTTCGCTTTCTTGCGAAGGTTGTTGAGAGTGTGGTGGCACGACAGCTCCCTCAGCACCTGGAAGAAACTGTCTATCTAGACTCGCGCCAGTCCGGCTTCCGGCCTGGGGACAGCACGGAAACGGCATTGGTCGCGTTGGTTGATGATCTCTGGAGGGCTCGGGATAGAGGCTACTCCTCTATCCTGGTCCTGTTAGATCTCTCAGCGGCTTTCGATACCATCGACCATGGTATCTTGTTGCACCGGTTAGGGGGGTTGGGTTTGGGGGGCACCGTCTTAGGTGGTTCTCCTCCTACCTCTCGGACCGGTCGTAATTTGTGTTGGCAGGGGGGCAGAGGTCGACCTCGAGGTGCCTCACTTG